ATTTATAGACAACTGTATATATATGTGTGTGTGTGCATACATACACACACACACACACACACACACACACACACACACACACACACACACACACACACACACACACACATATATATATATATATATATATATATATATATATATGTGTGTGTGTGTGTGTGTGTGTGTGTGTGTGTGTATGTATGCACACACACACATATATATACACATATATATTATATATATATATATATATATATATATATATATATATGTGTGTGTGTGTGTGTGTGTGTGTGTGTGTGTGTGTGTGTGTGTGTGTGTGTGTGTGTACACATATACATGTATGTATGTGTATATATACATACACTGTATTTGCGTGTGCTTGTCACACACACACATACAATTTCACCATCCCATGAAGTCTCATGAGTAATACGGAATCAAGAGAGAAATCAGGAGTGATGTTAAAACTCAGCGAATAAAAAACTACATTTTTATTGACTAATCTTGTTCCAAAGTTCATGGAGTGTGGTCATTGGTTACATAAGCATGCGCCTCCTTACCAAATAACCGTCTGGCAGGAAGTTTGTCAAAAGAAATCATACATGAAAACGGAAAATATTAAAAAATACATACATAAAATAAGCCTTAAGTGTTTAATCAACTGTCAAAACCTTTCGATCAAAACAATAGCGACAGATGACCCAGTACTTAAGGGCAGGACTATAGTTCAACAGATACATTTGCCTTTGTTATCACCAAATACATAGGAATACTGAAAATACAAGTGGCTACGATGCAGAACCATCTGCCAGTGCCTTTAGATTTGTAAAGGGGACAGAGGAACTACACAAATTGGCTTTAAAGTAAAACAAAATATTTACCTTTATTACACACACATACACACATATATGCATTTATACATATATAGATACATATAATATATGTATGTATACAATGTATATATATATATATATATATATATATATATATATATATATATATATATATATATGCATATATCGAAAATGCAATTGTAATACGTAATCAGATCTGGTGAGAATATAGTATTCAAGTCGCTTCCTTCCTCCCCTCTATGACGTCATTACTCGCCGTCCGCCATTTTCTTCAGCTGGCGCCGAAGGAGCTTTCCGGTTGGGTTCTTGGGAAGCTCCGCCACGAACCTGATCCCTCCTGCCAGCTGCTTGTGAGGAGCCACGCGACTCCCGAGGAAGGAGTGGAGGTCCTTCTCGCTCAGATCCTGATTCCTGCGCACGACGTAGGCGCGAGGGACTTCTCCGGCGCGCTCGTCCTCCACAGCAGTGATCCCGACGTCGGCCACTCCGGGGTGCCGAAGGAGGATGTCCTCCAGCTCCGAGGGGGACACCTGCGGGGGGGAAGGAGGAGGTGAGCGTCAGGGACTGGTGGCTCTGGGGTCAATTTGTAATGGCGTTTGTCCTCTATCAACGGATTTTAGAGGTATTTCGGGTTTTGTGATGTAATTTGTCATCATCCTTATTATTAGCATTATCGTTCTCATTATTATTGTTATTATTATCAACATTATTACAATAATTACTATTATTGTAATAATTACTATTATTACTATTATCATAATAATTATTATTATTATTGTTATTACTATTATTATTATTATTATTATTATTATCATTATTATTATTTTCATTATCGCTATTACTATTATCATTATTACTATTAATATTATCCTTACTATTATTATCACTCTTGTTATTCTTAGTATCATTAGCATTAAAATTAACAACGAACCACGCGTTTCTCTGCAAACCACGCCATTCACTCATTTACCTGCAGTCCCTTGACCTTAATGAGTTCCTTAATGCGATCGACGATAGAGAAGTAGCCATCGTTATCGCAAACGGCCACGTCCCCGGTGTGGAACCATCCCTCGGCGTCGAAGCAGTCGCTCGTCGCCTCGGGGTTGTTGTGGTAGCCGGCCATCAGCTGCAGGAGAGAGAGGGCGCGGGGTCAGAAGCTCATCTTTATTTACTGTCATTTTTGTCATTATTATTATCGTTATCATTATTATCCTTTTCATTATCATTATTATTATTTCCATTATTATGATTATGATTATTACTAATATTATTATTATTTTATCCTTATTGTTATTATCATCATTATCATTATTACTGATATTTTTCATCAATATTATTTTTATCATTATCATTGTCATTATCATTAGCAGTATCATTATCATTATTATTATTATTATCATTAATATTAATATTATCCTTATTATCATTATTACTACTAGTACTGTATGATTCTATGTTAATATTACTATCCCTGCCATGTGTTATAACGTCCTATCAAAATCGTTACTCTTTATCCGTCTTATCTCTCCTTCATTTCACAATCATCCAGAATCATGATGAATTTACTCTATCCCTCACGCTAGCTGTTATCACCGGCATGAGTTGGGAAAAGCGTGTAGGGGAAAGGAGGCGAGATATGCCTAATCAAAATGGAAACGTCCGGCGGCTCGCGAGGGTTGTGACATGTCCTTATCAAGCTCTCTGGGTAACAAGTCTTATCAGTAAATTCTTATCGATGAAAAAAGAGTTACATATAAATTTATGTAATTTTTTTTTCTTTTTCTTCTTTTTTTATCGTTTGGTCTTAAAGTTGGTATTTTATTTTTGGTGTATTGTGGATCTCGTCTTTGTAATTCATCTTCTTCGTATTATAGATCCCTTTGTCATTATTATTATTATTACTTTTAAGATAATAGAGACCTCTCCCTTGTTATTCTTTTTTCAAAAGATAATTACAGACCTCTCTTATCATTTATTGTTTACGTAATATAGACCTCTCCTTTATCATTCATTCTTGACGTATTATAGAGGAACTAAAGAGTAGAAAAAGAAAGAGAGAGAGAAGAGAAAGAGGAACTAAAGAGAAGAAAAAGAAATGGAGAGAAAAGAGAGTAAAGAAAAAAAAAACTTGAGCCTTCATAAACTTACAGCAGGCGAATGGACGCAGAGTTCGCCCTCAGCTCCCGGAGGCAAGGCAGCTCCTGTTTCCAAATCGACGATCTTGGCTTTGGTGTGAGGGACGAGTTTTCCACAGTAACCCAGCTTTTCTTCGCCCTTAGGAGTCATGTGCGTACAGAGGGTTTCCGTCATACCGAAGCCTACGGAGTTGGGGAGAGAGGTTCGGGGTTAGGAGCTTCCGGTTAAAGGGGTGGAGGGTTCTTTTTCGAACTCTCTTTCTTTCTCTCTTTCTCTCTCTCTCTCTCTCTCTCTCTCTCTCTCTCTCTCTCTCTCTCTCTCTCTCTCTCTCTCTCTCTCTCTCTCTCTCTCTCTACCACGCTCCGTCACTACTACTCTCACCCGGACCCTGACCCTCTCTTTCCCTCTCATCCTCACTCTTTCATAATCCCTCTCCCTCCCCTTCCCTCTCTTCTCTTCTTCCCTCCCTCTCCTCTCTTCTTCCCTCCCCCTTCCCTCTCTTCTCCCCTCCCTCCTCCCTTCCCTCTCGTCTCTTCTTCCTTCCCCTTCCCTCTCTTCTCTTCTCCTCCCTCCCCCCCACCTTCCCTCCCCCGAAGCCAAACCGACAGGCCGATCCTCACCCTCCTGGAAGAAAATCGGCCGCGCCACCTTCTTCTTGAGCGCCATGGCTGCGGCAGGAGGGACGGGCGCCGCGCCACACATGACGGTGTGGACATTCGACAGGTCCTCCGGCGCCACGGCAGGAGAGGCGGCGACGAACTGCAGGAGGGGCGGCACCGTGTGGAGGACCGAGATCTGAAGGGAGTGGATGGAGGTGGATGAGTGGAAGGTAATAGATGATGCGCTCTGGATGTTGGGCGGCGGGTGAGAGCGAAGGGCGGAGGGGTATTGGGGTTTTATGGGCGTATTTTGTTATCGTTATCATTATAGTGGTGATGACGGTAAGGTAATAGGGTGATCGTTATCATTATCATCGTTGTTATTGTTTTGTATTTTTTTAATTATAGTTGTTGTTGCCACTGTTGCTTTCATTATCATCATTATCATCACTTCTATTATCGTCATCGCTGTTTTTAGTATTGCTACTTTATATTTCAAGATAATACCCCCTTACCCTAACGACATCTAAACAACAGAATAAACATCAGCCAATCAACTCATGGCCAACCTGTGCTTCTACCATTTGCAGCAGAAAGAAAACAACAGAAGAAAATAACAGAAAAATAACAACAGAAATAAAACAGCAGAAAGAAAACAACAGAAAGATAAGAGCAGAAAGAAAACAATAGAAGAAAATAACAGAAAGATAAGAACAGCTAGAAAACAACAGAAGAAAACAACAGAAAGATAACAACAGAAAGATAACAAAAGGATAAGAACAAAGACAGTGACAGCACAAAAATAGCAGCACAAAGGTAAAAACAACTCAAAGATAAACAAGACCAAAAATATAACAACACGTATAAAAACAACAACTCAAAGATAACTGTAAATAACAAGAACAAAAAGATAACAACACGCACAAAAATAACTCAAAGATAACACAAAAATAACAACAAAAAGATAACAACACATAAGAACAACTAAGAGAGAACACAAAGCGAACAGCAACAGCTCCCCGCCCCCCTTTCACCTTATGCTTCTTGAGGACGCTGGCGTAGATCTGAGGCTCGAACTTGGGCAGCGTGACGATCTTGGCTCCCCTGCACAGGCCCGAGGTCATGATCACGCACATGCCGTAGATGTGGAAGAAGGGGAGGAGGCCCATCAGAACCTCCTGGTGGTCTCCTGAAGGTGGGGGGAGGAAGGGGGGTTAGGTGAATCCGGTTTTGTTGTTATTTTTATTTTGTTGCTGTTGTTGTTGGTCGTACTTCTTTTTTGTGGGGGGTGGGGGTTAATTTTAAGTCTGTTTTTAAGCTTGTTGGCTTTGGACTAATTTTATCAATTTATCATTTTTATCATCATATTTTTTTTTTTTTTTTTTTTTTTTTTTAAGAGAAGTCTTCTGGGTATATGCAAGCATTA